CCCCACCCCGGGGGCTGTGTTGTGTTTGGGATTATAGCCTCCCCATCACAGCGGCTGTGATGTGTTTGGGATTATAGCCTCACCATCACAGCGGCTGTGGTGTGTTTGGGATTATCAGCTACATTTAAAGGTGTTTCACACCAAAACAATGAAGAACGAGGACTCAGGAGGGAGACGGAGAACAGACAGGCCGTGTGACGGGGTTTGAAATGAAGGTGTTGCAGGGTAGAGGAGGCGACAGGGATTCGAACACACAACCTCATTGTGCATTAACGTTGTTGAGTTGGCTGCTGCCCAGCTGTACATTCACAAGAACAAACAGGTGGTCCAGTAACGGGGTAACCTTGAATTAAAAATGGACCTTTCAGGCCTACTTTTCTATGTGGCGCTGTCCATGGTGCTGAAATAGATTCAGCACCATGGACAGCTGAATAGACTGTGGGACAGCTTCATCTGGGGATCTATGGGAGGAGGGGGTCAGAGTACGTAAGGGGTGGAGTTAAATGATGAAGCAGGACAGTGGGGTGTTGCGCCCCCTGCAGGAAAAATGTATAGCAGGAAATGTTCAACAGCATTTAAAGAGCTGAGACTAAAAACCACAACTGAGCTTCCTTTCAAAATAAAAGCCCGTGGATACCACCACAGATTAACACGCAGTCACATGACATTTTCTTCACATGGTTAGCACATCCTTATTTCCTCTGTTGAGACGCCACAGCAGGTGAGAGAGAGAGAGACCAGTTAGACTGACTTAGTTCCAGGGACGGTGAGAAAGTGGAATAACTGCTGCTGCAACACAACACAGGAAGAACAGAACGACAACGGTGGATTAGAGTCTGGATTTTCATGGACGGCTCTTGGATGAAACTGATTTTTGTTGTTCTCTCGTGGGGGGGAGGGGGGGTTCATTGTCAGACATTGAAAGCGCCACTCAAAAACTGTACACTGGACTGGTCTGACCTCTGGATCTACTGAGTTTCTCCCAGGCTGTGATGAACTGCGGCTCATGATTCCATGTTGATTCTTAGTTTTAAAATGACTGTTTTAAAGCGTCAGAGTCAGGAGTTAAATCGTCCCAGGGAGAGAGGCAACAGGTGGAGCTGAAACACCCGGTGCAGCGCTCCCATTTAACATAGCTGCAGATTTCTGCTGTGTGATTCATGAAGCTGATCCCTGGCCTGGTCCTACTGTATGTGGTGCTGAAACAAGAACCATCTTTTACGTCTTAATGACCTGGTGTCAAACAGCCCGTGTGAATGGCCTGGGGAGCAGCTGCCGTGCATTTTAATAAACCCAGCAATCATTTTTCACAGGTGGAGACGCCTTTCTCATTCATCCTCCGACAGCCTCTCTGTTTGTGTTTGTTGTCGTCAGATAAGCCCTTTTTACATTTGCTCAATATGCACAAAGTGCCTGTATGATTGTGGACAAACAAGCTGAGAGAATATGCGGCGCCTGTCGGCCCACGGTGGCTTCAGCAGCATTTAGCAGCTTAGAGTAAGACGAGAACAAATGGAACCAAATCAGGTTTTAGTTTACATTTGTGATTTTTTTTATAATTGCTTTAATTCATCTGGGTATTGGCTGCCACTCTGCTGTCGCCGAAATTGCTTTATTTTCACGTTCTGGGACGACGGGCTGCCAGCTCCAGACAAATCTGATTGGTCTGCTGCCAACAGCAAAGGAGTAAAAGACTGAGTCAGAGTGTAAATCAAAGCTGAAGATCAATGTGCTTCCTAATCGCCTCTTATTTCCTGCCTTAGCGTGCGTCGACTGTTAGCTCTTCCTCCGTGGAGCTCAGCTCTGTCTTCAGCCTCGTGCTGACGGAGGCCGTGAAGCCGGCCGTGAGCGTGGACGGTCGTCACTGATGAGGCCCAGAGTTACTGTTGTGAATGTGATGTTTGAGGTAGAACACACACCTGTCTGTGTCAGTGTGTGTGTGTTTCCTGATGTCTAAATGAAGCGTTACTAACATGGCTGGGACTGAGACAGTGATGAGCCACTCTGCTCTGCCAACCTCTCCTGTGGAAGGGGCGGGAGGGGGGGTGGCTTCAGGTAACCATGGCAACAGTTGAGCTGTGAGAGCTGTGAGGAACGGCTGCCAGTCAATAGGCAGATTCTGACTGTCACGTGGTCAGTCTTGTACTTTTTTTGAGCACGCTCAGTAAGGTAGTGTATGTCACTCTGACAGGTATGGTAAACTGACAGGTAACCAAACTGTGGTCCAACCCCGCCCTCACCTGAGCGCTGCTGGGATTTTTGTGTCACATTTTTGTTTGTGTTTCACTCACACACTTTTCATTTGTAATGTCAACAATCCCACGTCCTGGTTTACTCTGTGTACGGCTCCCCCTACAGGTGACGTTTGTTTTTACTTCCCTCCAGGACTTATTGTGCTGCAGAAGGTTCTGGACACGGCAGCAGAGAGGAACTGGCTGGTGACCTCAGTTAATGTGGAGACCATGACAGAAGCCTCGTTTCTGAAGGTGTTCCAGGATCTGGACAAGAGAAAGGAGGGTCAGATCATCATCGACTGTGAGACGGAGAGACTCACTGGCATTCTCAAAAAGGTAACGAACTTCGACTGTCGTCCTCGTACCTTAGTGACTTCTGTTTCCTCCGCTCCAACAGAGGAGAATACATTTTTTAATTTGTTCAAATGTTTTAATGAGATGAACAGAGGAGGAGGAGTCGAGCTGTGGTTTTTGGTCGGCGCTGCTGCTGCTGCTGCTGGCGCTGGCGGCGGCGGCTGCGGCGCCGGGTGC